CTGCAGGACATCCAACATAAGTTCAAAGGCTGCTTGGGTAAAATGTCTGACAATCAACGTTAAACTTTAGCAGACTCTGCAGCATGAAACTCCATGTGTTTCTTTATATTTTGCATCATTTTTTGTTGGACTACTGAGTCCGCATACTCTTACCGGCAACCAAGGCGGAACAGAACCTTCTTCTTGAGGAGGTGGTTGATTATATCTTTGGTTGGACCCTCGAAGCGCTTGTCTTCAAACTTGCAGTCATCCTCCAGAGTGCGACGAGTCACCTCGCTGCTCTGCACCTTCTCCCTGAAGTCTTTAAAAGGCAAACGACCAGCCACCATCTCATAAATGCTGCAACCCAGAGCCCACCAGTCCACAGATGTGCGGTAGTACTCCTGCTTCAGAACCTCTGGAGCCATGTAGCCAGTCGTACCAGCCTGCAACACAAGCGGCGAAATGGAAGGAGATAATCAGTGAAGGCTGATGGAGGGAAAAGAAAAAAAAGAGGATGAGAGGTTTATAAATATAAAGGAAGCTTTTGGTTTAAATGGCTAATTGTTTATTTAAAAAAACAACAGAAAATTAGAGCAGAACTTTAGAAAATTATTAGAAGGAAAAAGTTTGGAAGAGATGAGTCGCAATTTGGGAGAGATTATCAGTGTTTCAAGAGATGCAAAACAAACATGTATGCAGGACATGGTTACATGGACATCCATGGATATGCATACCTTGTGTTAAGCCATTTTTAAACCAGAAATAATGTCAATGTGTCAAAAGGTCCAAAACTAAAATGGATTAGAATAAGTTACTTCAGGTCAACGTCTTGATTGATCAATCTTTGAATGAAGTCATGCTTAAAATGTTAGTTAAATTAATAAATGAAAATAAAAATATTATCTATTATTTATGTATTTAAAGCATGCATTGCATTTACAATAAGAAATCTTGCCCCTATTTAATTTGTTGGATATGTGGCAGTTTTGGTTTTCCATACTTGCTCGAGTGGCAATTAATCCTATTTATAGATTTCTTCTTGTGTAAAATGTTAAGATTTAAGCCCAAAATGTTATGGTCAGAATCTTTCTTAAGCAGTTGAGGCTATACAGCAGGGTTGTATATTTATTTGCCTCCACTGCAGCATCTGCCTGATCCTATGTAGATGTGGATCCACCTCGAATCAGTCAAATTCAAAACATTTGTTAGGATATTTATCATCAGTGATGTGTGAGTTTATAGCAGTTTATAGTTTATTAGCTGCCGGTTGCGTGTCAGAACTGATGTTTTCCACAATAGTTTATCTATTTAAGACAGTTCCTCTGTGTGGATTTACAGTTATAATCTTCATTCTGTACGTGGCAAAGATTTGGAAATGGAATGAGAGCAGGGTGTCCTTCAGCTAAGAACAAAGTGTAATATTTTGATACGGTTGGAGCCAAGGATGTTTACTCATCTGCTAACGTGAATGATGTGATGATGAGGCATATGGGAGATGTGTAAAATGCCTTTTTATCCATTAATCGCGGCCACTTGCTAAGAGGTGAGCCCAGAGGTGAAAAGCTGCCTTCTGTAAACTCTAAGCAACTTCTCTGATTTGAGTGAGATCACAATTTATTTATATCAAAATCTGTTTTCATGTCTCCTGGTTATTTAATACATATAAGTTATGAAGTTTTATTTAAAGAGTTTGTCCCGAGTGATCTCTTTTCAGGAAAAAGAACCGGAGAGATAGATTTTCAAGGTGCATACACAGACTCATTGTCAGATTCATTTTAACGAACAAGCATGTAAAGCTATATTTTATATCTGGTATTTGTGGGGCAAGAATAAGTCAGCCAAAGCCAACATGCTACTAGATCTGCTGTACATTTCTGAGTCAGCGAGGGCCATGATTGAGCATTAGATCAGCCGTCTTTTAATCAGATTACTTCACGGGGTCATGCTCTCTGCTGCAACTGGAAGGAGTAACATCGTCTCTGCTCCAGCTTGGAGGTTTGCAATGGCAACTGAACAAAAAGAGGTAAGGTAAGAAGGGAAGAGGATGCATCATGTCTGAAGACGATCTACTGAATGGGTCACTGATGCTACTTTGCAGGATACAGCCACACAAACCATGTAGGTACTAACCCTCTGGCAGATCATTTTTCCTTTGGGCAGCTCCACAGCCAGTCCCAGGTCTGACAGTCGGCACTGGCCCTTCCCATCCAGCAGCACGTTCTCAGGCTTTAAATCTCGGTACACGATGTCCATAGAGTGCAGATGGAGGATGCCGGTGACAATCTGGGCTGCGTAATAAACAACTCGCTCCATGCGGATGCCTCTCTCGCCCAACTCGTAGATGTGAAAGCCGAGGTCTCCTCCTGACATCAGGTTCATAACCAGGCACAGGTGGTTTTTGCTTTGGTAGGCGTAGGCCAGGTTTACAATGAAGGCGCTGTTGACCTTCTCCAGGATCTGCTTCTCCAGAAGGGCTAGTCTCTCGCCTCCTTTCTTCTTCAGACGCTTTTTATTCAGCTTCTTGCAGGCGTACATCTGACCCGTGTGTTTGACCTGTACTGCACACACCTGGCAGACAGAACAACATAGAATTGATTTAATTTCAGTTTCTTTGTCTTTATTAGTACTACTGATCTTTTGAGCATCCTGAAATTTTTCTCTCTGCTAATTTTCTCCTTTCAATATTACCGTCTGAAGGCTGTGTTTGTTTGAAGAAGAAAGCGGGAAAAGTTTTGGGATCTTAGTAAAAAAAATTCAAAAGAATAAACTTCTTGCATGAATTTAAATTTGACGCAAGGACTTGTTAATCATTGCTTCTAATTTGTTTTTATTAATGCACATAGATACATCATGAGCTTTTATTGCTTAATGTTTATAAATATATTAATTTGAACTTTTAATTAGTTATCTGAAACAGTGTTTTTAAAGAGTGAAGTGATTGTACAACAAAAAAGATCACATTTTTTTGTTTGTTTTTTAAAACAATAGGGTATACCATTTTTTATTATTTGTAAAGCTTCTTTAATCAATTCAGAAACAAATTCTACTTAAGTTTTAAAGTCATGTTCCTACAGCACTGCAGCATGATGCTGCCACTACCATGCTTGAACATTAGTTTTAAGCTTCAAAGCTCAAATGTATGCTTTCAAGCATATATGTGGTATTAATTTACACAAATAAGAGCTGATTAATCCAATTATTGGTTTTCCACTGTTTCAAAAAAATCTTTGAGATAAGGCCTTCAAGGATGAGGGAGGTCTAGTTGGTCTTGGTCTCCATCTCCCGATATGCTCTCACCTGTGTGCGACCTTTCAGACATTTCAACATATTTTTCTGAATCCGACATTGTAGCATGGCATAGACAATTCACGTTTGCAGTTTGAAGAACACCAGCTTGCTTCCGATGATTTCCTTTAGCTAACCAATGAGTGTTTGCGTTATATGACTCATCCAATGACACTAGTTTTCACTAGATGTGGATGGTGCCAGTGATCTGCATTGGATGGCGCACATGACGAGAAATAAATATTTTTAAACATTAAACTGAAGCCAAGAGTAACAAGTATGTTTGTTTTAAAAAAATTTAAGGAATAGAAAGTACAGATATTTGTGTGAAAATGTAATGAGTAGAAGTCAGAAGTAGGAAGAAAAAAAGTAATGGAGTAAAGTATAGATACCTAAAAAGTGTAATTAAGAACAGTAACAAAGTATTTCTACTGCGTTGCTTGACACTTCTGCTTACAAATTAAAATATATATGATTATTGTAATTTGTGTCAGAATGACAAACAGACAAGCAAAGACCAGTGTAAACTTCTCTGTGACAAACTAATCTTTGGAGAACAGTCATAATGATTTGAGTTTTCTGCTTTTAAAGGTGGAAAACCTTCCAGACAGCCTAAAGCACAGGTGACCACATTTATTCTCTCA